CATTCAGATTGATGATGATCTCTTTCTTGTTCGTTGCAATAACAACATTATCTAGCGTTCTTGGTGAAGACAACGACGTAGTTTTCGATGAAGATGGATCGCCCATTAAGGCCAACGTTCCTTACTACATCAGCTTCATGACTATGGACTACGGAATGTGGATTTGTCGAATGAGATTTGGATCGAATGATCCCAAGTCATGCCCACAACAACCGGTAATGTTCACTTATCCACCTATACCACCTACACCAGTTGTGTTCCTATTACCATCAACAGTGTCAGATAATATTGTGCGTGAATCAGCCAAACTTAGCATTAAGTTTGTTAATCCCCTCCAATGCGGTGAATCGGGGATTTGGAGAGTCGTTCAGAGAAGCCCTCCTATAGACGGTGAAGTAGTCTTGAATGGAACTAAGTTAAGCAATGACAGTACATTCACCATCCATACAACCAATGAATATTACATGTTTCGTTTCGGTGAGGGTGACAGGCTAACGACTATCAGTTTATCTAACGATCGTGGTATACAGAGGTTGTTATCGAAGAGGTATTCTGGAGAGATGGAGATTTTATTCTACCCAGCTAAGCGTTAAGGCAAATGTTCTGTTTCTTTTACCTGCTTTTTGATGTAATGTTTCATTTCAAAATCAAATAAAACTTTGTTGTAAACACATGAATGAATTACGCGATAAATGAACCAACTTTATTTACGATTTTCTCGTCATACGACCAAAAATCATTTAGAAAGAACTATGATATAAGAACACAAGAAAGAACAAAACTCAGAGTTTGTCCCTAACCGAATAAAGAGATAATTTGATGCGTGTTTTTCTTTTGTGTCAGCAGAGGAAGCAGATTGACCTTGTTCTCGTCGTGTCACGGTCTTCTAGACCTTTGAGGAACCATCTGATTGCGAGGTGCTCCGAAGCATAAGTCATGAACGAAACTACAACTAGAGCTACGGCTATCATCAGACCCAACCTGCTCAATATGTAGCAGAAACCGGCCAGTTAGTACACAAATTGATCCAGTCAAATTCCAAGAACAAATAGTGTGATGATTCAACAACATTTATGAAACCAAGCAACACATTACCAAACCTGATTCATTCTTTACAGGTAACTAAATGAAAGATGCAAACGACTTCAAGACACGAGGAAAAGAACATAAGCAAGTGATTTAAGATTTTCTTGTCAGCGGATGATGTTGAAATTATGGATTTGTTCTTGATGCTAATGATAATCATACAGCAAATGTGAAAAAAATTACCTCAAAAATAAAGCGGTGACCCCTAAAACGTATGGCAAAGAAATGGCAGCAAAAGCCAAAAATACCATCCCTAATCCATAGTACAATGTAGTAAAGTCGTAGGACGCATCTGCACGCTGATGACCTGTTGATTTGTCAAAGAAGTTAGCGACAACAACAACAAAAAATGAAAAAGACATTTGTGTCTCTGTGGCTATATAGCTCACAGAATAAGTAGACTTGGCGTAAAAGAAAGAGCAAAACTGTGGGAAAATACATAACTTTTGATTGATTTTATGTTTTCAACATGTCCATACCTTTTCCCGAATCATCCAATGACGATTCTGTTTGCGATGAAAGAGATCCTGTTTGAAATGCGATTTTCTTGCCATATTGATACGCTAGAAGTAAAAAGCCACCATATAAAAGGAAGAAGATTGTAAATGTCCACTCAAATATCAAAATCAAGCCAGTCCATGGCGTGATTTGCCTTGGCACAATCATAAAGGAAACTCCAATGGATGTCAAAAGAGCCACAAAACAGACTACAACTGAAATTGCCCCCAAGTATTGAGGAACCCTAGAGTGCAAGCCCGTGTGGAGCTGTAGTGATAAAGAGAGAAAAGTTTAGCATTTAGAAAAGCAAAAAGGCAAGTAAATGGGCAATGATGAGCTAAAAACTAATCTGGAAATGAAAACTAACTTGATAGTTAGAATTCATGGTAGACAGTGTCGATACACCACTATAACCAAGTGTTCCATTAGATCTGACTTTGTAATAAATATGTCTGATCTGATTGCAGACAGAGCTCCTACACAATGAACCCAAGAAGTCACGTCCCTGAAACAGAAAACAGAGGATAAAAATGAAACTGAGATCCAAATGAGACGAATTTAGCTTAGATGAAAGAAACGGTAGGGTGCAAGAAGTTTTTCTCTCTAACCTGTATGGAACGATAAAGGCAGAACAAAAGCCCACAAAGTGGTAACAAGAAAAGGAACTTGACGATGAATTCATCATTTGGGGTTTTTCCACCTCCAGTTCCAGGAAGAGTTTCCTCAAGCCTTACCCTAATGCTCTGCAATTTTCCAGGTGAAACTTAACGAAGAAATTCGCTAAGAAGAACTAAATTTTCCAGTAATAATGAGAAAGTAATGTACATCCACAGACAAGAAGACCTACATGCCATGCATCAACAGGTTTCACGAGCCATGCTGTCCACCAGTCCCACGGCTTAAGAGGGCCTAGAGTGTAGTGAATGATGTGAAGTTTGCTGTCATCGACCATCCACTGCATTAATAATGAGAATTTTAATATTCTAAATCTGAAACAAGATGAATATACTAAACTAATCAAAACCAATCATAAATTCGCCATATAAATTCCAGATCACATCACTTGTCTTAGGAAGAAACATGAAACTCAAACTTTAAATTGCAAGTACCTTGTTAGCAAGCATATAAAGACCAACATCTGCATTGTATAACGTAGAAAGCCTCTCCATTTTAGGAACTGGTCTTGTTTTAATGACTTCAGGGGATAAACTTGGATCAAAAACACGAGCATTCGGAAAATCTGGATAATAAGAATTCAAGAACCCTTGATCTCCACCGGTATAAGACGACAAAGTCTTCACTTGTTTCATCATATCATTAAATAAAGCTTCAGAGGGTTCAACAACCATAACACCAGAGTTCAACCTCTCAGAGTGCTTCAAGTTAGCGCAAAACTTCGAACACTTAAATAAATCCTCAATGTTCTTTACCACAATAGTATCAGCATCAAGATACACAACTAC